TTTGTTCCAATTTTCTAGTTTGAAAATTCTCGCTGGTTCCGCCATGATAACGCCACTGCGCTAGCAATGAGCATGCCTTTCACTGGGGGCGTGTAGCAGTTCTCGCCGTAAAGCAAGACCGACTCTCGCGAGACTTCTGAGCCTGTGGGTGCGGGCCGAGGGCTCCTGCAATTGCAAGTACTGTATTTCCCCCACAGGCCACCAGGGCGGCCGAGAATACCTTTGTTCGACCTGAAATTACTCATTTAATCATCCAAAACGTTATGGAACACATTAATTAACTAAAAAAATTTGCATAGTATGCCTTTAATATATTTTAATCCTTTTCCCTGTTTTTTATTTCATGCCTTTTTGTGCCCCCATGAAAACACGCTGCTACCCTCCACCCCCCGTGGCCCCCCTGGTACATTTGGTCTAGAACCGCCTCTGTGTGTTGACTTCTAAGAATTAAAAAAATCATTAAATCCAAGCATGCTAAGTTGCTTCTGACATTCGTCTGTTTCAGGCTTACAAGGAATTTGAATCTTTGTCCTTCTGGCTCTCCAACACATACCAGCTGCTCAACTGTCTAAAACAATACAGCGGGGAGGAGGTGAGCACTTCCCCGACTCTTCTGGTCTAACCTGTCTAAACTCTCGCCTACAGTGGAAAGTATGTTTTTTTTTTCCTTTGTCTCTTCTTACAAAAGGAGTTCCAGAAACAGAGCACAGCGCGTCAGAAAAAGAACTGCCTGCAGAACTTTGATTTGTCCGAACACAGACAGATTCTCAGCGACGTGGCCATACAGATCTACCATCAGCTCATCTCTGTCATGCAGAAGATCCTCACGCCTACTATCGGTGTTTTACCCAAACACTTATTCTACATTTTAGGTTGGATTTTGATTCCTGTAGGTTAACACCTGTCGCATGTCTTCTAACAGTGCCTGGTATGTTGGAGCATGAGAGCCTACAAGGAATTTCTAGCATGAAACCGACCGGCTTTAGGAAGCGTTCCAACAGTATGTATAAGGACTCAGAGAAATACACCATCTCCTCCATCCTGCAGCAGCTGTCTGTCTTCCATTCTGCCATGAGCCACCACGGCATGGAGCAGAGCCTGATCAAACAGGTTGTCAAACAGCTCTTCTTCCTGGTTGGCGCCACCACCTTCAACCACATCATGCTTTGCAAAGACATGTGCTCTTGCAGGAAAGGGATGCAGATTAGGTTTGTTATGGCAACATCTGCATGAAGGGTGGAGAAGAGATTTGATGTTAAAAAAAAGTTTCACTTTTCTGTTAGATGTAACATCAGTTACCTGGAAGAGTGGCTGAAGGAGAATGAGCTCCAGAGCTCCGGGGCCATCGATACGTTGAGGCCTCTGGCTCAGGCTGCCTGGCTGCTGCAGGTCAACAAGTCCACTGATGAAGACGCTCAAGAGATTGCTGAAAATTGCACTGAACTAAACCCTGATCAGGTACTCCAGTCTCTGATATCCATCCGCGTCCCGTTGCTTTTTTGACGTTTATGCAATACTTAAAACTTAACTTGTATTTAAATTTTCAGATTGTTAAGATTTTGAATTCCTACACACCCATAGATGATTTTGAGAAGCGAGTGACCTCATCGTTTGTCCGCAAAGTTCAGGTAAGCTTTGCTGTTTAGTCAGGTTTAAATGAGCGGAGTCTCTTCTGAGGTTTAATTAAAGGAAAAGTCCGGTCGGCAAGGAATAACCAATGGATCATTATTTATACCTAAAATCTAGTGATGTTATGAGATGAGCCGAGGCTTCGAGGCGTGTGTCGAGTAATGGAGGGCACGTTTCCCCGAAGCGCGTGTCGAGGCGTGATTCATTTAGAGGCGGGGCCAAAATTGATGACGTCCGAGGCCTCGCTACCATGAAACCATGTGACTGCTTCGGGAAGCGGTTCGGGAAATGCAAGAATTTTGACAGTATTCAGTCAAGATGTGGGAGTTTGGAGGAGAGTTGCTTTCAGCGGGATAAAGTTTGGATAGACTCTAAGAATAGATTGGTCGTTTTTCCAACCAATCTAGTTGCTTAAAACAAATTTGGTTAGAATAAACAATGTAATGGTCATAATTTGAGCAAACCACCGGACAAAGCCAGTGTTGACACGTCACTGTTAAGTAGTATTTTCTCCTTGCATTGGTTACCGTAAATCCTCTAATATAGGCCGGGGCCTTTATTTCACTCAGGTGCATCTTGGTCCAGGCCATTATTGGAAGGAGGCCAGAATTAGAGGCAGGCCTCTATTTCTATTTGATCAAAACAGACGACCAGTGGAAGGAATAAAATCCAGATTTTGTGTCTCTTTAAACCTATAAAATACTAGGTTCATTTATTGAAAAAGTGCAGTTACCATAACGGTATGCAGAACATTATTCAGACAACTTCCAGCAGCTGCTATTTTTCTGCACAGCAATACAAAAAAAAAGACACAGAATGGATTCTTGGCCAAACAAAGTTAAAAAAAAAAAATAATGGAAACTGTTCTGGCATCACAGCCGGTCATAAAAACC